CTTGAAGCCCTTTCTGCCTTCTGCTGGACTTGCTTTTCCTTAAGGGGACCAAATGTTCTGGTGCTCCACAGAAGACCCCTAAGCCTGGGGCTGTCTCTGAGATGGGTCCTTGAGCACTTTGTAATGGCAGTTGATGGAGTCTGGAAGGGTCCTTGAGGGTGATGTGCTGGAATGTGCCATGGCCCTTGGGTGTGATATTATTTGTTCTCATAGCCTTCCATTCCTTGCCTGGGTGTATCCAGTACATTGTGAAGGAACTGAATCTAGATCCAGGGTTCTCCCTGTTATACAGAGTAGCCATCACCATAGGCCTCAGTGTCCCTAAGACAGTAGAAAGGAAATAGGGACAGGCCCCATAAGGCTGTTGGATGTGGTGCTACAAGTGGTCTCCCTGCTGTTTAAGGACCTGTTTGCTGTGGACACCCAGACAGGCAGTGTCACCTCCCTGACAGCTGGTGAGCAGAACCTCTGCAGTGGGGTGATGGTGTGGCGAGGGGTGGGGAGGTGGGAGATGGGCAGCTAGCTTAGGAAGGAGCTAGAGCTTGACCCAGGGCAGCAGTGGTCAGCTCGGTCACTATCACCACGGATGCTTGCCAACAGTGTCCTGAGGAGCTAGCCAGGACACTACCTCTTTTTTCTGCTGTACTATTGGCTCCACACACCCTGGCCCCATAGCCCCACCCCTGTCCTAAGGTCTACAGACTTTTCTTGCCAAGCTATTACAGCCATCTACCTCCTGCCCAAGCCCTGGAGAAACCTTTGCTGGACTCTCTGGCTTTCCCACACTCACCCTATGGTCTGCCTCTGAAACAGCCTTTTGAGTTCTCCACTCCCTTGACTCTGCACACATCTGCTTCCCCTAGGGGGGTCAGCAAGATGCTGCCTTAGGGTTTCTATCGCTGTAAAGAGACACCATGATCATAGCAACTCTTAATAAGGAGACATTTAATGGGGTCTGGCTTACAGTTTCAGGGGTTTAGTCCATTATTGTCATGGCAGAGGAGCGTGGCAGCACTCAGGCAGACATGGTGTTAGAGAAGGAGCCCAGAGTTCTACATCTGGATTGACTGGCAGCAGGAAGAGAATGACAGGGACCTGGCATGAGCTTCTGAAACCTCAAAGCCTACTCTCAATGGCACACTTTTACAGGGCCACAGCTACTCCAACAAGGTCACACCTCCTAATAGCGCCACTCCCTGTGAGGCTATTGGGGGCCATTTTTATTCAAACTGCTACAGGTGCCAAAGTTCTAATTCTGCATCTCTGGCTTGGGACATAGGTCATTGTCATTACTAGGGTGTTTCCCTAGCATACACAAAGCACATAAGAAATAGTAATAGTAATAATAATAACAACAATAATAATAGAAAATAATGAAATAATAATAATAGACAAATTTTAGACCAGTTCCCTTTCCTCTATCCAGTTTTTTGGGCTGGGCTACTATTCTTTTTATGCTGCAGTCATTGGAGTAGATAGGGTACCTTGGTAGCTTTCTGTGTCCCTAGGCCTGGCAATTCTTGAGCATAGCCATTGTCTGTCAGATGAACAGGAGGCTTACCTAGGACATGTGCAGTTAGATGTTTGTAAGATGTATATCTCAGGGTTGAAGGTAGAAAAGTGGTGGCCCTGCCAGGAACTTACTTCATCTGCTTCCTCTAGAGGGGTCAGCAGGAAGCTGGAAGCTGCTTACAGTTGACCAAGACCTTATGGTTGCCCAGTTCTCTACGCCCAGTCTGCCCCCGAGCCTGGTGAGTACTGTGGGTCCCAGGCTAGAAGACAGGAACTACAAGCTCCCATGCCACAGAACTGGCCCCGGAGACTGGCCCTGGTTGGTCAGCATGCAGAAAGGCAGAGACAGCTTGCCTCCAGCCTAGTCCTATGGCTCTTTGGGCATGGCACTCATGAGGAGGACCCAGGGGCCAGCATCTGCACCATCCTGACCAATGTGCCTACAGAAGTGCCCAGTCATTTATTATTAGAGTCAGGGAAACAGGAAAACCTAGAAGCCAAGAAGTGTGGTAGGGCTAGGGGCGGTTCATATGTGGCTGTCTATTAGCAAATGCCACTCAACAAGAATTTATGCTGTGCTCTTTAGAGATGGGTTCCTGAGAGCTGGCCCATCTGTGACACTTTCCTTCCCCTTGGCAGAAAGTTGGGTTCCTGCCTCCTGCCGGGAAGGAGCAGTCTGTGTCATGGGTGTCCCTGGAGGAGGCTGAACCTATTCCTGACATCCACTGGGGCATCCGTGTTCTACACCCACCTCCAGACCAAGAGAATGTACACTATGGTGAGCTGGGCCAATGGCAGATGCACACCTGCTCCAGATCCCAGCACACAGCATCTGCGGTCCTCCCTAGCTCACGTTGCAGGCTTTCTAGGATTTCCTCTAAAATTTGTTCTGATCTTATGGTCACGGGGAGCAGCATCCAGAGATTTGAGTACCTGCTATGGTTATCAGCACCAGGTCCTGCCAGCCCATAGCATCTGTGGTGAGGAAATTAAGGTTTAAAGGAATAGGCTGCACACAAGGCTTATGTGACTACACCAGAATGTTATCCTTTCAGACAGTGGGGCTCTCTGACTAGGCAGAAAAGCACACAGCTTTAGGGGGATCTGTGTGTCATGGTGTGAGCTACCTTGGCTAGGCCTCTGTTTTACTTGTTCAGACCCATGCCATAGCTGCAGATGGGGCCTTGGTTGATGAAGTCTTTGTGAAGTATGACTGGTCTTGCTTACTATTGCCTTCTCTCTGCAGCTGACCTGGACTTTGAAGCAATCCTTTTGCAGCCCAGCAACCCTGCAGATAAGACCCAGATCCCCATGGTAGTCATGCCCCATGGTAGGTATTTACCTAAGAGCCCTTGCCTCCCTGCCACCCCTCCCAGCTGGCCTTTCACCCTCTGCTTCCTGTCTGCAGGGGGACCCCATTCATCCTTTGTCACTGCCTGGATGCTGTTCCCAGCCATGCTTTGCAAGATGGGCTTTGCAGTACTACTGGGTAAGTGAGAAAGGATCTGCAGTTCCACTGTGGCTCCCTGAAGTGACGGGGTGGCCTTGGTTTGTAGATGCTTTTCTAAGGTGCGCTTACTCTTCAGAAACTGCTACTGGGGCTGGGCAGTGGTGACACACTCCTTTAATCCCAGCACTTGGGAGGCAGAGGCAGGTGGAGCTTTGAGTCCAAGATAAGCCAGGGCTACACAGAAAAACCCTGTTTTGAAAAAAACAAAAAAAGAAACTACTACTAGAAATCTCCCTGACCTAGCCTCTGGCTTCCTAATCTGGTGATCGTGTGGATTAACTTGAAGCTTCCGTGGAAAGGCTGCTGTGGTCTCTGGGTAGCAGCCTCATCTCTCTTGGCTACCTCCCCTTACAGCATGTGATGCTGCTGGTCCTGGGGCCTACTTCACAGACACATGGAAGGGGGTGAGGGCTGGGAACATTGCCTGACTATCTTGTCTCACTTTTAGTGAACTATCGTGGCTCCACTGGCTTTGGCCAAGACAGCATCCTTTCTCTCCCAGGCAATGTGGGCCACCAGGACGTGAAGGATGTCCAGGTACCAGGGTGCTGGGCTCCTAGATAGGGAGGGTGGATTCATGGCTTTCAGCTGGCAGCGAGCGAGCTGGAGCATTCTCCACCCATACTTTAGTTCGCAGTGGAGCAGGTGCTCCAGGAGGAACACTTCGATGCAAGACGCGTGGCCCTTATGGGTGGGTCCCATGGTGGGTTCCTCTCCTGTCACCTGATTGGTCAATACCCAGAGACCTACAGTGCCTGTATAGCCCGGAACCCAGTAGTCAACATTGCCTCCATGATGGGCTCCACTGACATCCCTGATTGGTGAGTGTGCACTAAAGGTCCCTGTCCTTCCACCCCATATTCCCATAAAGATCCTGCAGTCTGCATCTTTTGGTCTTTTATAGGTGTATGGTGGAGACTGGCTTCCCTTATAGCAACGACTGCCTGCCAGACCTGAATGTGTGGGAGGAGATGCTGGATAAATCGCCTATCAAGTACATCCCTCAGGTGCCCAGGTATCCTTGTGTGTGCCACCCATTCCTCCGGAATCCAGAGCTCAGCTCACCACAGTTCCTTGCCTCCCATACACCTAGGTAAAGACCCCAGTGTTACTGATGCTGGGCCAGGAGGACCGGCGTGTACCCTTCAAGCAGGGTATGGAGTATTACCGTGCCCTCAAGGCACGGAACGTGCCTGTTCGGTGAGTGTCACAGGATAGTTCGGGCAGCTGGTTGCAGGTAAACAGGACAGGAACCTCCAACATCATGTGTTGCTGCTCATATAGGCTCCTGCTGTATCCCAAGAGCACCCATGCGCTCTCAGAGGTGGAGGTGGAATCAGACAGCTTCATGAATACTGTGCTTTGGCTGCACACACACTTGGGCAGCTGAAGCCCTATCGTTCGTCATGAGCTGGGCAGTCCATCTCGCACTTTGCTGTTGGTAAGCTCCAGGATCTGGCAGAATAGCCAAGAGGTTTCCTGGGCTCTGGACTCTGAGTGAGTGAGTGAGCAGAGGACTATGGACTCCGTAATCATAATAAAGGAGCACACGCAGCCTGGTTTGTGTTGGGACTTTGTACCAAGCCATCATCAACCCCAACTCTGCCTTGGGGTTCAGAAACCCCAGGTCTTGAGGTTGATATCCACAGTGGATTCATCTCTGCCATCTGACAGAGAGAGAGAAGCCATGAGAGATTCAACCCTTGCCTGTCCTGGCCAAATGGGACTGGTGCAAACCAACACAGCTCTTTGTGCTCTGGCCCCATGTGCTGGAAACTGTTAGGCACTATCCTTGCATTCCCAGGAGTGCCTCTGGAAGATGGTGGCACCCTGCCCACCCATGGTACACAACCTTTTGAAGTAGTTCTGGGACCAGAACACCTAGCCTAGAGTGCTAGTCTTAAGCCACACAGCCTCTTGCAAGGAGTCAACAACTCATTCCCTAGAAACCGAGAGTAAGAAGCACTCTATACAGACATAGAGAAAAGGTTGCTTTATGTTTGATAAGAAGTCTTGTCATTGCTAGAGGATCAAGCGCAGGCCTACTCCAGCTGCATGACCTTGTTAATCCAGTCCACAAACACAGACACACGTGTAAAGATAGCTGGCCAGCGGGGCCGTGCACACACTCTGTTGGGGATGATAAGTCCCTGTAGGACCCAGCAGTCATGGGTATAGCAGGCAAGTGGGCCCCCGTAGTCACCCTGGCAGGTAGAAGAACTGATGGAGGCTCTGGATCTTGGCAATGACTGACCTCCCCTGACATCCTGTTCCCTTGGAAATCAAGTAGTATAGTTCCAGGTCCCAACCCCTTCCCATGCTGGCACAGGAACTCTCCTACTGACCTCACAGGCCCCCGTAGGGACCAGCAATCCCTCGGTGCATATCTCACTCTCTTGTATGTGTCCTCGGTACTTCACGTTACATTCCTGGTTGGAGATGATCTTCATCAAGGCCACATGAAGGACGGTGTTATTGCTTGTACCTGGAATGCAGACAATGATAAGGAGAGGACCCTTGAGCCAAAACCAGTGCTGGGCCTCCTAGCCTGTAGTAGTCTGTGTCTGTGCACCGTGCTCTTACCTTTGGAATCACCCCATCCTGCAATCTCACACTTGGTCCCTGGAGGTACCACATATTGTTCAGGAGGCAGGCAAATCCGGGCCACATGTTGGTTCAGGGTCACAGGTCTTCAGCGGGAATGAGGGTATTCAGAACCTATGACCACAAGGCCAGCCCCACCTCACACCCTCTCAACTTATCCACATACCTCTCCAGCTTGAGCAGAACAAGTTGAGAGCCTACAGGTCCGCATACTGCCTTGGCCACTGGGATCTTCTGCAGGTTTGCCTCTCCAGGCTGTGGGTTCTGGTTAATCGTACCCAGCCATACCTCATATCCTGTGAGAGGTTCGTGGCTAGGAGAAAGAGACTCAGCTAGATCATTCTTGACTCCTAGAGCTGTCCCAATTTAGTTTGCTTGCTGGCTTGTCCAAGGAAAGTGGCTGGGGAGGTGGGGACAGACAATGGCAGGGAGAGGTAGGATGAAGGTAGCTAGGAGTCCCAGTCCCTAAACCCAAGGGAGGCTCACCATGACCAGATGCATTGCCGGGCCGTCAGTACCCACTGCTCCTTCACTAGGGAACCCCCACAGAAATGCTGGCCCTGTCTAAAGGAGTAGAGATTAGGAGATGCCACACTGAGTCCTAGGAAATATGCTAGACCTGTCATTTTTGGCAAGGATCTTTTGTATAGGGCCAGGTATCCATCTTCTACTAATATAACCACAGAATTTACAGCCTCAGCTCCTTCCTTGAGATAAGCACTTAGGCCTCACCGATTCCGCAAGCTGACCGTCCACGGTGAGTTCCCAGGATGGCCCCCCACCACACGAAGTCTGTTACTCTTGTCAGTTCTCTTGCCACACTTTTCAAACTGCACCTGGTCTGGGGTTGGAGGAATGGAACCTTCAGTGAGTGTCAGGGTCAAAGAAGGTGTACCCACAACTGGCCCAACCCCATACCTGGGGGGTCCAGAATGGATGGCGGCTGGTCATCGTCTGCAAGACCAAGTTCACTCATGTTAAAGGAGCCAGTCTATGGAGGTGAGGTCTGAAACCCAGCCAAGGGGATGTCTTAGGCACTCACCACAACGTTGTAGGGCACAGTAGTCAAACAGGGTCTCTGGGTCCAAAGTATAACACCAGGGCCCATGGCTATCCCCATCCGGATTCCGGCAGAAGTTTGCCTCCAGTCCTGCCTGTGGTGCTGAGGTGGGTGTGAATCTAGATGTAAGGGCAGGAGGTAGGAGGACACAGCAGGCCAGTCAGACCCTCTTAGATTCACAAGAACTTAGGGCATTCTGCCCTAGAGTCAAGGCCCTATCTGGCTCTGTGCACACACTCACTGCGGCTTGTGTGGTGTCTCTGAGGACCAGTGCTGACACTGAACGCCCTTGCGGGTCTTGCTGACTGAGCCGCGATACTGTTCACCTGAGCCGTGGTAGCACCCTGTGGTGGGCAGGCAAGAGCGGTGGTCAGCCCTGGGTTGACTCCTGCCCAGGCAATGTACCCCATGCTCCAGCCTCACCCTCTGACACCACTTCTTCTGTGCAGCGTGGGATCTGGTAGCAGAAGGCCACACGGAAACCAGGTCGAGATGTGAAGCACCAAGGAGCCTCGGAGCCATCAGGATTCCGGCAGTAATTCTCACGAAGGTCCCTGGGTAGTAGTGGGGTCCCACCTAGCCCACCAGCCAACCGGCAGTAGGCTGGAACCTCTGGCTCCGCCCCCAGGTCCCACCTTCCCATAAGTTCTGCCTCCACCCACAGGTGCACTCTCCCTGCTCCGGCCTGTCACCTCACTTGCAAGCATATTTCTCTGGCGCAAAGCGGTGCTGGTGCGGAGTCTGCGCATCCCACCGCTGGCAGGGCACGCCCGCAGAGGTGGTATTGGTTGTGCCTCGATAGTCTTCACCTTTTCCGCGGAAACAGTTAAAAGCCTTGTCCTTGTTGCGCTGCTGTGACTTGGCTCTTTTGATGGTCGGAGGCAGGTTGGGCCCTGCCGGAAAGCTGGAATTGGTCTCTGGTATTCTGGAGGCTTTGCTCTGTACCCACGCCTAACTTCCCTAGTACCTCTCCCAGTTGAACCACGCCTGCCAGTTTTTTCCAAGTTCCTTCCTAGGCCCTGTCCCTGCAGCCTACCGCAACTGGGCAGGTCACAGAATTCTCGCTCAACATTCGGGTCTGTGGTGTAGCACCAGGGCCGCTCAGATCCATCCGGATTACGGCAATAGTTGTCTTTCAGAGCTTTGTCTAGGAACCTGGGAGCAGTAACAAGACTCTCGGGACTCAGGCCTCGTTGCGGTAGAGCTGAACCCCACCCTCAGCATTAGGATTCTACCCACATACTTTTCAGGCTGGAAAGGGTGGGAGTGGGGGTGCTGTAGGTCCCAGCGTTGACACTCCCGTCCTGATTCTGTGACATCTACCTCACCATGGTAATCCTCGCCATTGCACCAAACACAAACAGCTGGAAACAGGGCCAATGCATGTGGGGGGAGAGGGGCAAGCCTATCACTCCCTCCTTAAGTTTGATTGACCCCAGCTGCTTACCCTCCCTGCAGGATTTGATGCCACAGCTTTGAAAACGCACACTGCGGTTTGTTGTGTAGCACCAGGGACCTCCGGGGTCCCTGTCAGGGTTCCGACAGAAGTTCTCTTCCAGGCCATTCTTTGGTGTGGGCGTATATCTGTAGACAGAGAGCCTTACATACTACAGTGCATGCTGGGGAAATTCTGCATCAGGTCTAACGGTCTGACCCTAAGTGTCTGGCTCACTTGTGGTCATTGGGGAACCTGTGGCTCCAGGCTTGGCAGGGCAGGCCATCAACTGTCCTGGCCACAGTGCCCCGGTAGCTGACCCCATTGTCCATAATGCAGGTCCGTACATAGTCTGGAAGCAATAGAAGAAGGTCAACAGGGACTGAGGCTTTTGTGGCCCCTGTTACTCACCCTGTTTCTCCTCCCCACTACCACTTGCCTTTCTTCTGGAAGAGATCGCACAGACTCGAATGGTATAGCTCTGTGTGCAGTGAGTGCTGAGTCCACGGCAGCAGCTGGCACCCATGGCTGCTCATATTGTAGTGGAAGGCTCTGGGGAGCAGACACAAGGTTAACTGGCAACCCAGATTCTCATGTCTTCAGCCATACCTAGGCTACTTAGCCACTCACCGACAGTCCAGAAGGGGCCCACAGCGCCTAGCACACTCCTCAGCATCTGCTACATCCTCCTGCCATGGCCCTGGCACCACTGTGTGTAGCAGGTTCCTTAACTCTGTGCCTCGGAGCAGCTGGAAGTCATTCAGTGGTGAGCGCTGCCCTGTGTGATGGGCGTGGGAGAATGATTGTGCATATTGGTACATATTATTTTAACACACCCTATCTTTTGCTTATTTAAGGGATCCAATACAAAGTCCTTGGGGTGGGCCATGCATATATTTTCAAGAATCAAGCTAATCCCTCCATACCCAGTGAGCTGAGGAGGCAGGTCGAGATACAGTGATTATTATTAGTCTACTAGGAGCCCTGGCATTGGGCTCTGGTCTAATATATCCACGCCATGAGAATTTGGGTGATGGTGTTGGCCCTATGATGACATTTTCCCCTTCTCACCCCTCAGATGAGAATGCTTGGACTTTGAGCTAAGATACTTTCTGGGGAAGGCCTCAGCTTCAGCATTCTGACTCCAAGTCTGGCCTCTCACCAGAATAAAGGCACAAGTTATAGTGATGTATTAGGCTTAGGAACCATGCCTTCCGGATTTGATAGTTTCTCTTGTTGAAAGATTGCCTCTGTGCTACAGTATGTTCTAATGTAGTCCTGATCAGACTGTGTATATTTGAATTCCCAAGCCTTCTCAGCTCTGCTCAACAGGCCAAGGTCACTGATCCCTGCCCAAAAGAAAAGTAAACTCTCAATGAGAACAGTTATACAGGCCCAGGGTGAACTCCCTCCTGAAGGCAAATTGGGATCAGGGTGGGTGACACTCACCAAGAGCCCTTGAACACTGTGCCAGGAGCAGCAGAAGTGGGAGCCACCCCATTCTCCTAAGCTGGAGGCTGCACTGTGACCCACCACAGTCCCATCCCGGAAATTGTGAAATCTGTCCCTTCAGGATTGGGTGGCTCTGGCTCCACACCCCCTCTCTGAACCTGCTTGGACCTGACTGACACCGAGTGACAATTGCTAGGTGGAACCTAGGCTTGAGGCCCTTGAGTCAAGTTTTAGGCCCATCTCACTGCAGCTAGACCCCTGAGAGGCCTCTCTGTGTAGTAGGCAGGACTTAGGGGGGGTTCTGTGTGGAAACATTAGGCATCCCTGAGGCAGAGCCCGCCTGCTCTGTGCAATCACCAGTCTAGCCAAGATCACTATGTTGGTTTTCCCATCACCATCTATCCCTTAGATAGCATGTTGTTGCTTCATGTGCTCCAGAAATTGCATGAAGTCCCTGGTGCCTGCTTTACTGTAGAGGTGTGGTGCCCATCACAGCAGTTAGACTCGATGTGATTAAGTTTACAAAGTTAAAAACTGAAAATTTTCAGTTACACTGTTAAGAGTTTTGTGTCCACAGTGGCTGCCATCAACACTGACACTTCTGTGCTAAAAGACTCTGCTAGTAAGTGTTGCCAAGATTTTCCAGCCCCTGGATTATATTTTTCTGGGCCTCAGTTTCTTCCTGTAAATTTCCCCAGCCCTAATGCTGCCTCTCCCTGTTCAAACTGCCTTATCAGGTAAGTCCCAGCTGTAGGCCAGTCAGCCCACACCCCCAGCAGCACATCCTAGGGACATTCATCCCCTCTCAGAAGTGTCATCCTAGGTAAGCTGAGCAACCCTTCCCATTGGATCTGGTGTCGGGAGGGGTCGTACGCGGGTGTGATAGGTAGCAAATTTGCCAACAGAAGTGGCCTTTCAGGCTGTGTGTGGGTCAGAGCTCCAGACAAGGTAGGAGTTGAGACAGGTGGACCTAGGTACCGATTAGAACATAGTCCCTGCTAAGGTCGGGCTAGGAAAGGCAGGGGCCGAAACAGGTGGACCATCAGGCAAAACAGGTAAACAACTTGGTAGGAGTCGGGGGTGGGTTTTCTGCCACCAATGGCCTGTTGCGGTCTGTGCATATGCGCGTGCGCGACTGGAGCGGCGCGCGAGCGGGCACGCGGTTTGGCCCTGGACGGGTGCCGTAGCCGAAAAGCTGGGCGGATGTTGTGAGCCGGTCGCGGAGGCTGAGGCCGGGGGTGAGTGAGAGGCGGCCTGGCTATGAGCCGGGCGGGTCCGGTGACTCCCCTCGAGGCCCCTGGCCGACCCAGTGCGACAGTGCCGCGGCCTGCGGTATAGGACTCCCAGCGGGAGCTGGCCTGACAGGTCCTATGGACCTTGGGGCCAAGCAGGAGCGACCCTGGGGGAGCATGCGCTGCCCTTGACATCCTTGGCCACCCAGACTTAGTCCGTTCGGTTCCCTTAGAAAGGCTGGGCAATAATGGAGTGGCAGGGAGCCCTGGGGCAGGCGCAGGTTCCGCCTCTAAATCCCCTACACCTGACACCCAGAGTGTGCGTTGGCTTCCAGTTCTTACTAACTGCGTCCAATAAGTCCTGCAATTGTTCCGATATAAGAGGGACTGGTTGTGGATGTTCATCGAGGGCCCCCGGAGGGCGGCACAGCAGCAGAATCACCTTCCTGAGCCTGGTACGATGCAGGCAGGCAAGGATTTGTGGTGGGAGCTGAGGGCCCCTTTTGGGGTGTGATAAGTGTAGGCTGCAGAAAAAGACGTGCTGGCTCAGGCAGTAACTGAAGGCCAAGCTCTGGACAGGCGCTAATAGAACTTTCTGAGCCGGTGGTGGTGATGGCACACCCGTGCCTTGCAGTTTAGTACAGTCATGTGTGATCGCTGAACTCTCGAAGCTGAAAGTTCAGTTTTTAACTTTGTAAACTTAACCACTCTTGGCGCTTGCCTACCCTGTTGTGTGGCACACCCCTATAGTGAGACAGGCATCAGGGACTTAGTGCAGTTTCTATAGCAGCTGCAGCAACAACATGCTACCTAGGGATAGACAGTAGTAGGAAGGCCAATAGAGTGATATTGTCTAGGGCGATGTTTGCATAGGGTAGAAGGGTATGTGGTGTGTGTGTGTGTGTGTGTGTGTGTGTGTGCAAGAAAGCCAATGAGACTAAAAATAAGAAAAGAGAGGAAACTTGGGCTAAGTGTGACATCTCTTACTCTGGGGGAGTAAGAGGGATTTGAGGCTGCAGGGAACATGGCATAAGGTCTTGCTCTTTGAATATGAGCTGGACTCCATGACCAAGGTGTAAATATAGGAGATTTTACTCTGGGCCACCTCACCTTCTACATGTTGATCTGATTTCCCCCGAGCCATAGTTATGGTTCACCAAATATACTTTGCACCAGGTCTCTGCGAGGTCCTGTATGGGGCACTGAGACAGCATGGGACATGGTGTCCCATTCAACATCTCTGTGTGGAAAGCTGGGAGACCTTGCTTACCTCTGCCCTAGGTTAGTATATGTGTGAATATGCATGGTTCAGTCTCACCCACTCCTAAGCCTTCCTACTCTATTGCAGGACTGAGGTCTGTATGGGCCTTTGACTAGCCTGGAGTAGACACTCTGCATCTGGCTCAGCCTCCAGGACCATTGACTGCCCATGAGTGAGGAAAGATGGCGTCCAAGGGGGCTGGCGTGTCTTTCTCCCGAAAGAGCTATAGGCTAACCTCAGATGCTGAGAAGTCCAGGGTCACAGGTAAGGGCTGGCCTGGCAGGGAGGATGTGCTTTGTGTTAGGGGAAGGAGAAGGAAGGGACAGATTCAGCAAGGGCCCAGGTCCAGTGAAACATGGGACTTTCCAGTGTGGTTGCTCTTCTGATCCGTGTGGCTGGCGGAAGATGAGCTGTCTGTAGGGTCAGTAGAGACCAAGAGCTGTTCCAACCACCTGCTTCTTTTCTCTCTTCTGATTGGTGACCCAGGCATTGTGCAAGAGAAACTACTGAGCGACTACCTGTACCGCATCTTTTCCTCTCCTGACCATGGGACCCCTGCAGCCACCAGCAGGTATGGTTGGGTGTGTAGCCCCATTCCTCTCTGTTAGGCCTGACCAGATGCTGGAAACTGCAGTTATGGAGAAGGGCATGGTGTTCTGTTCTCACTCAGCTCACAGCTGTGAGGCTTGTGCCTGCAGCTTCTCTCTGGACTCTTGTTTCTCTCTTCAGACAGCAGTAGCTCCTTTCCAGGGATCCAGGTAGGGGTTCATGTGCCCTTGGCCTCTGTCAGCATCTGGCCTTACGTGCACTTTTCTGTACCTCTACTCTGCCCTGGCCCCCTATAGTCTCTGCCTGGCTTTTTACATAATAGAAACCTCAGTTGAATACATTTATGTTTAACCTGCAAAAAAGTTACAACAAGTAGCAGAAACTTCAAAACAATGAGAAGCAAACCTCCTCTTCTGTTGGTAGTTAGATGTGACTTATTTGGGTGTGATTTCTTTCTGGTTTCTTTATCTCACAATGAACATAATTTAGATGTTTAGTATAAAATTCAGATTTTTAAAAGAAAGACCTCAGAACACTTCTGGAAAAGAAATGATCTGAAGGGTGGTGGCTCATAACTGGAACCCCGACACCTGGGACTGGGAAAGGCAAGAGGACTGAAGTTCAAGACTAATCTATTCAGGGAAAGAAGACACTGTCTCAAAAAAAAAAAAAAGCTTCCTTGCAGTTGTGTAATAATTGAAACAAAGTAAACTACACACACTCTTTTAAATGTTCAAAGTTGCTTTTGAGACTGTGTAAGACAGGCTGGACTGGAACTCTTCAATTTAGATCAAGGTACCCTGGACCCCATAGGTGATGTGAGAGTCACCTGCCTCTGGCACCTATGTGTTCAGATTGTAGTGCCACCAGGTCTAGCACCTTCCTTCCTTCTGCCTGCCTGTCTGTCTGTCTGTCTTTCTTTTCTGGTGTGTGTTTGGGGTCTTTGCTTGCCACACAGTTCACTTTTGGAAGTCAAAGGACAAATTATAGGGAGTGAGCTCAGGTCATGAAACCTGAATGCTAAGTGCCTTTCCCACTGAGCCATCCTGTTAGCTCCACGGTCAGTAGTTTTAGGTCTTTTATTTAGTCTTTGACAATTTTATATATACATGCAATTTTTTTGGGGGGTGTTTCAAGACAGGGTTTCTCTGTGTGGCCCTGGCTATTCTGCAACTAGCTCTGTAGACCAGGCTGCCCTCAAACATCAGCCTGCCTCCCTAGTGCTGGGACTAAAGGTGTGCGGGAATACAATGTAGCTTGATCTTATCCTTCCCCTTGCACTCTCTTTGGAAAGGCCCAGCTTCTTAAGATGGCAAGTCTTTGTGTGTATCTCTGTGTGTATAAACCTATGAAACAATGACTAGCATCAATCTAGTGAATGCATTAATCACTTTTAAATATTTTTGGAAATTAGAAGCAGGCAGGCTGATGTTTGAGGCCAGCCTGGTCTACAGAGCTAGTTGCAGGATTTTTTTTTTTTTTTGAAATTAGAATTCTTTTTCTTCTTTCTTTCTTTCTTTCTTTCTTTCTTTCTTTCTTTCTTTCTCTCTTTATTTATTTATTGAGGTAGGGTCTCATTATATATTGCTGGCTGTCTTGGAACTTACTATGTAGACCAGGTTGGCCATGAATTCACAAAGATCTGCCTGCCTCTGGCCAGCTTTAGAATTCTATTTTTATTTCATGAATATTTTTCATGGTATGAATATTTTTCATGGTATGAATATTTTTCATGGTATGAATATTTTTCATGGTATGAATTGATTTTTGATGGATATCTTTCAGGGCCAGAGTTCTGCCATGGCCCATACCACTGTGTACACTTCAGAGGCTCTTTTGCTTGTGTAAATGTGGTGTGAGGGTGCCTAGGGATGGCTAAACTGTTTGACTTGCAACTACTTTTAAAAAAAAATGGGTGGGGGGCTGGAGAGGTGTCTCAGCAGTTAAGAACACTGCCTGCTCTTCCAGAGGTCCTGAGTTCAATTTCCAGCAATCACATGGTGGCTCACAACAGGGATTCAATGCCTTCTTCTGGTGTATC